TGCTATGTCAGCTTACTGTGAATCAAGGACTTGCACCGTTAAGTTAGCTTCTAAAGAAGTCAGGCTGTACATTCTGTTCCCTTTGTCTTGTGCTCCTTTTTTTTGTTAGTCAGGTGATCTTGCCTCTCCATATCGCAGGTCTGAAAAAAATCCTTTTTGTCAGACGTAGTGCTTTTAACGCTTACTTTTTGAGCTTTCAGCTACATCTGCTACATTTATAGTGAATACTGAGAGATATAACCTGGAGTTTATGCCCAGCAAGTGTTAAGTGAAGGCAAGTGGAAAAACTTGCACAGCTTTCAGGGCGTTTTATCTTTGAGTATTTTGCTCCCTAAAAACCTTTAGCAATGACCTGATCCTTACTACTCGCTAGCTCCCCCATGCTGGCAAATTCTGCATTGTTACTTCATTCCTCCAATTACTTTGTAGAGTAAACCACCACTGAGAGCAGAAGCACCTTGCAGTCCCACAGCGATGTCCTCTAAAACATGGAGAGGAACTTTGATAAGGAAAACAATATTTAACTACTGTTAATCCCTGGGCATAAATACCTCATTTCTCCATGCTGTTTCTAAGATTCTAAGGTATTATAAATCCATGTAACTACCTTGACTTGTGCAGCATGACCAAATTAGATATAGGAATATGAACAAAAAGGGCTTGCCTACAAACACTGCATTCATGCTTTAAATAGGGAAATCAGATTAGGCCCTGTCTAGACACTGAGTTCAAAAATCGCTAGAGTAGAGATAGAATTCTTTGCAAAGCTACATGACCAAGACACATAGTGTCATTTGGTGAGGTAAAATATTTCATGCCAGGACTGGATTATACAATTTACTTGTGGGTATTATGGTCTTTACACATCGAAGAGATGAAGCCACTGGAATGTTAGGAAAAGCTCTGATGGAGTTAGGTAAAGTTTCCAGTTTAAAGCTCTTTCTTTGGCCTCCTATCAGCTTCTGAAACTTTCATAATGAAACTTCGCCTTTCTGTAATTTACAATCAATTTATTTTGAAGGACTAAGGCAATTTTTTAGAATATCGAATGTGTACAAAGATATGTTTCCATTCCAACAAAATTATTGCCATCACTTTTATGATGGTAGTTGGGAACAGTGCTTAAAATTGGCAGTGAAGTGACTCACAGTGGAAAATGCTGTTTCTAATTAGGTAATGAATTCTAACAGAATTCTGTATTTTAACAGAATTCTGTATTTTACCTGTACTTATCCTGTCTCAGGATTCCAGGTTTTTACTTGTGCAGAAATTATCAAGGGACACTTGCAACTAAGCCAACTGTTTCTAAGAAAAAATAACTGAGCTACTAGTCATCCCATTGTAACAGGATATCTAAGTCGGCCGAGTAGGAAGCGAGGCAATATTGAGAGTGCTGTAGTTTAGAGGTATTCAGAACAAACCTATTCTGCTGAAATGTGAATCAGAGGGAGTTTTTAAGGGCAACCAGTGGCAAGAATGATTTTCTAGAATGACACTATGCAGAGAATTTTTCTGGAATGACACTACAGGTTCTACAAGGTGAAACCGTGCACAAATAGGTTCATTTATCCACTGGAATCAAATCTTACATGACTAGGAAAAAACAAGGGCTGCTCTGCTGATTTCAGATAAATCAGAATCCCGAACTGTAAGAGAAACTTAAAATAACATAGCAAAGTTAATGTTAAAGGGTGTGAATTAACACTGTCCTATCTATTCTGCACAACAGTTCACACGGGACCAGCTTGAGATATTCCTCTTCCACTGTTTTATTTCCTTCTGCTATGGAACAATAAACCATTTCTGTATTTTTTTTTTTTACTTTAAACAAAATTTTAATGTGCTGAATTGGCATGGCTTAATTTGACAAGAAAGGAGAACATTTAGCTCATTTAATATCGCTTTCCGGTTCATAGCACAGCCATACGGTTTTATGCCAGCACAACAGCCATCCTGCAATATGGAGAACAAAAGACAGGAGAGCCCTGGAACCAGTTCAGATGGCAGCGTTTTTTGTAATTTCCCTGTTAAACACTGGGGGGAAAGCAGAGGGAGGAGGATGGGTGGGGAGAAGCTTAAGTAATAGAATTATACAGAATGCAACCTTGCTACATGAGAGCATAGACGCTAACCGCCCCACTCTTTTGTTTGATTTGCTCAGTGTAAGATAATAGCTTCCCAAATCATGTTCTCCAGGAGCTTCTTCAGAACTCCATGGATCTCTTTCAGCCCATAAATACACTTCTGATGATGAAAAGTTGCAGGTAGTGCCCTAAGTGCTATCACAAGAGCACCTCACAGTGGTTCCGTCTTCCCTAAGCCTCCTCCTACTTCCACCTCCACGCTGCTGAAGGCTTTGTTTGCCGGCATGGAAAGTGGATTACTTCCCTTTGTGAGGAGTATTAAGCTGCTGTGCTGTGGATGCAGACAAAGAGCCAGCATGGCCAACGGTAGTGAGAGGCAGCTGATCTGACATCACCTGGGACTAGTTTGGACTGTGCTTTGACAATGTGATAAACATGCTCCAATGGACCTTTGGCATTTCAGGGGTCAGGGAGGCGTTGTAGCTCTGCATAGAATAGTCCTTTCTACGTTTCTTTTGAAATGCCAACACTGAAACTACAGTAAATGAAGAAACAAGTAATACATGCTTCTTACTGAGGAAGGGTGGGTGATCTTGTTTGAGACACTTCATAAAATTCGACTTCAGTAAATCAGTTTAACCTGAAGAACCTGTGAATATAACCCAGCTGTCTTCAGATGGATCTTGACAAAACTAGTATATATTATACATTATCTGTACTGTAAGAACGCTCTGTTTTATTGGACAAATGTAAAAATACATCCTATAGTGTTCCTCCCTCTCCTCCAAAGAAGGACACTGCCAGTCATTACCCTTTCAAACAAATCTAATTCCATAAAGTATCGGTGATAAAATATTTACAATTAAAGTTTTCAAAAAGAACAGCTAAACTACACAACAGAGGGGAGCTGACATTGCTATAAATTGGATTAAATTTAACTGCTTAGTGTAAAGGTAGCTCTTCATATTAGAACATATTTAAGCATATTAACTTTTTCTTCCCCCTCTGCCCTGAAGGAAGTCTTAGGTCAGACAAGGAAATTTAAATAGCCCAGGGTTTTCTGGGAAATGTTTGCGTATAGTGTATAGACAAAAGGGAAAGAAAGAAGGAGAATCTTAGAGCACAGACCATTGACTAATGCTGGGGCAAGATGTGAAAAAATTACAGAGCTACAAACAAGGGAAGGGAGATCAGTTATTTGATTCATCTCATACTCAGTAAGCAAGCTTTCAAACATTCCTTTTAAATGCAGTTGCAATCAGACCTTCACTTCAGGAGTTTCTCCAAAGTCCAGATACACAGAAGATATTCAAATGCTTGAAGTGGTACCCAGTTTCCTGCCTGTGCTCACATCAGTGCCCAAAAGAAATCCTAAAATGGATCCTGACAACCTCTTTGGTAAAAAATGTAATGTCCTAGTAGATAACTTATTACAACCTACTCATGAAACTGCCTGTTTTTTCTACTTTTGATAGAGACATGACAAAACTGTACAATACATAGTACAAATCCTGAACATGTTAGTCATTATGAGCTGAACGAAGATGCAATCTTGCTCTATGAAACAGGCCATGTTTGTAAGGTAATTGTAGGGAAGTAATGCTGGTTTGAAAAATAATTATTTCATAGGTGGTGTTCCAAAGCTGCTTACCTGTTTAAAACACTAGTGGAAAAAATTATTTGCCTTTAGCAAATCCTAGTTCTGAAAAAACCTTAAGTCTTTATAGTCTGCCACATTAAAAATCCCCACAGTAAGCTAATAAGCGTTTTGGTGGTCACATGCCCTCTTCACAGCCTGAGTCATCTCTGCCAGAACAGGTGTGTGATGTGAGCTGACAGGACTCTCTGAAGAGCACATATATCCTGTGGGATTAGCTGTTACTTTTGGTGATGAGGGGATTGAATTCACTTCCACTTCTTCCACAAGTATAGCTGGAGGCCTGTGCTATCTGCTCAGTACAGATGGCATAGTTTCTCTTCATCAGAGTGAAACTATTTCTGATTAAATGTGCTTATATAAACTTAAACCATGAGAAAACGTTTTCTCTTACATGGAAAGAAGTGAAGCGATTGAAATCCTTCTTGCTTTCCTGAAAATAGGGGCACTTCAGTGACAGTTGCTTCGACGACAAGCTGAGAGGAGGATTTCTGTGGGAGCATTGTGTGTAAGGCACAGCCAAAACCGACCGCCCCTCAAAAGTGCATTCTGAAGAGTATAACAGGTAGTGATGCAATTTTTCCTGTAAAAAATTAATGGAATTAATGGAATTGAGGCTGCATGCAGGAACTTAAGAAACACACACCACGTAAATAAGCACGTCAGGTCTGGTGGTATGGAGGCTGGAAGGGCAGAAGCAAGTTTGTTGGCATTGTCAGCTGGATGTGACACTGTTTTTAGAGCAGATCACTGATATGAAACATGACATCATTTTATTGATAATGGTGCTCAGCTTAAATCTTTTACTGTGAACATTCTTGCTACCTCTTTCTGAATAGTTACGTTTTCATCATCACCACCATCTTCCTCAGATGAATCAAGATGTTCATGGGTGAAGGGTGAAGAAATGGGATAATGATAACGGTTGGTAGAGCAAGGTATTACTGGAGACAGAAGTCCAAAATGAGAGATAGAGAAGTGACACACGGAGAGGTGTTGCTGCAATGCCACAGCATCTGTTGTGTAAATCAAATAGCTTACTTACAAAATAGCTGACACTGCAAAATGAAATAAATAGTTTTCCAAAGAGAAGGGTTTGCCATATTCTCATGCGAGTAGCTGTGATGAAAAGCCATAGAGAGAAAGTGGCTGTGTTAAAGCGTAATTGTCACGCTGTCCAGAGTCAACTGTGGTAGTGAGAGGGGCGCCTCACCGCATGCACATGTCCATTTAGTGGGCACCAGCCCCATGCTACGCCCATGCTCTCTTGCTTGGATGTCATCTGGAGTGAAAAGCGGGGAGCTGTGGGGCTAAAGCGCAGGCAGCAGCAAAACTGCAGAAAGCCAGCAGACCTCACCGTTTGCATGACACGCTTGCAAAGGTTGTTTGCTCCTCACACAAATCACCTCCATACTTACTGTAAGAAAACTACTGTTATTTCTACTGGCCTAACCTTGATTAAACTTAGCATCAGTGCTTGGAGTAGTGACGCCTGCAGGCCTAAGCCTGAACTTTAACCGAACCTGTGGGATACTGCTGACAGAACAACTGCAGAACCAGCTAGAACCAGCCCTCAAAGAAACAGTACACAATTGGAGGCGGTAACGGTTAACTTTCCGGATAAGATAAGGCGCTGTGGAGCAGGAACGCAGCAACCATCCTGGGATGTAGATGTGCACCAATCAAAAGGAAAGAGACCACCGACTCAGTAAAGAAGACTGGAAGAGACTGTCACGGGCAGGCGGGGAAATAAGACTGCAAGGAGCGTAATTATCCCAGAATTTCTTTGTTCGGGGTCCCTCTTCGGAGGCACCCAGCTCGAGCTGAAATAAACGATCGTATAAGAGTCTGACGCCGAATTCGTGGTGAATGCCTGGGGACCTTCATAACACCTACCTTTGTGCCTCCACCTGCACGGGGCGGTATGGGTAGCTCCATCACAACTCACTGCCTGGGAGGAACGTCAACCCCTCTGCCCCTCATCTCCTAGGAGGTAACTTGACTCTCCTTGACTAGAAAGGAGCCCTATTACCCCGTTTCCTCTAGTAAATACGGGGAGGGGGAGGGGGAGCCAGAAAAAGGTTTAAGGGGAACAAGGTCTAACGCGAGGTCTAGGTCCTCGTCCTGCAATTAATCCCCGGCGCGGCTGAAATCAGCAGCTCTCTACACAGAGGCGACGGTGGGAGGGCAGGTCACTGCAGGCGGCGGGGGGGACACACGGTGGCGGCCCGGGGCCGTCGCGGCGGGCGGCACCTTATCTGACTTCG